TTGAGCTATAAATAGGCAAGCTTTTAAGTTCTTGTTTTTATTTGTTTCATTGTTTTATCTGACTTTATGGCTTATGTTTTTAATATGTTAAGTATGTCTTAGTGCTTAGATATTCAATTAATACTGGTATTTCTGTTATTTGTCTTTTAATTCAATTATTTTAGATTTTCTTAAAACACATTTTATGTTTTGTATATTTTTGTTTCATATGGTGCTCTAACTATAGACTATTTTGACCAACATTTTGACTTTATCACAGATTGCCAGGTTGTAGTATCACAGTCACAGGTTTTCTCATGCCCAGTTGGATGTGTTTGGAGAAAACATGCTTACAGAAAACACTGGCTGCCTTTTTTCAAAGATCATGATTGTTTTGTCAATATTTGGCCCCACAGAAGTGATCAAGTTGATTCACACCGTACGTGTTACTTTATTTTAGGATCAATGGAAGACTTTGTATTCAGAGCCGCAGCCGTTTGAAGCACATTTGGAGCAATTGAGAAAACAATGATAAATATTTAGAGAATGTAATGTACAAGGAGGAGTGTTTCTTCAAGTAACACGTTTACATCTACGTTATCAAATTGTCCTTCGACACAGAGAAGAACAATCTAAGCTTTTATAAACTGTAATATCACATGGAAATGCGACTGAAGAAAAACCAAATCAACAAACACCGACACAGTTTGCACAACAGCCCGAGTCATTGCGCTACATTTTCGAACAGCACAAACATCTTCATTTGATTTGGCTTAATGTAATAATTTAATATGTGGATTTGATTTAGGCATCCACTTGCAAAACAAGCTAATTGTTGCTCAGCTTTTGGTAGCAGACAGAAAAGGTTGGTGGTAAAACCTAAACTAAGCTAAAGCATTGTAATTTGTATGGTTATAAAATATATGTACTGTAAATACACTCTTCAGGGACTCTCTTCCTAATAGGGAGATGTGAGATGTGTGTGAAAGATGTGTAGTCATTTTGATTAACACCAGACAATTTTGTCATACATGCCTGTTAACGTCCTAATAGAAATGTTCACCATGAAAATGAATTAAGTTAATGACAGGACCTTTGGTTTAACCTCAAAGGGCCGTTGGGAGGATTGTAATAATGATGTAACTTGATATAAAATTCTTTAGACATTACCTCTGTGCCGAACTTGGAAGGAGTAAATACCAAAGAGAGTCAGGACTGCATCAACCCCAGCGTCCAGCTGGCTGCCTGAATTAACTTCTGCTGGTCTTTAATGGCTCTGAGCATCTGTGACCCCTGACCTTGCCCTCTGAACACACTAACAAAGTCCCTCTTTTTCCATCTTCTTCACACTCGCACACATACTTTTCTGGCTAGTCTGACCACTCCTGACAACTGGCTGTTTGTTTGTGTGGGGGTATTTACACTGCAACATATGCAGGGCGACTGGTCTCCTGTGGCCCTGTCAGGGCTGAGCTCCCAAATGCTGTTGAGACCCTAGAGTTTTGTTTGGCATCTGTGGTGGTAATAAGAGGATGGATGGAGGATATATTTACAACTCAGCTCAGCCCCTTTAGGTCGGACCAGTGGTGGAGTCCTGCGTTTTTGGATGCTGGAGAATTGACCAAAGCCAACAACACATTATCAGTCAATCCATAACACAAGCTGGACACAATCTTTGTCAATCTATAATCGTCCTGACTGTTTGTTAATGCCAGGAAATTACAAGAAACTTCAAATTTATAGGATGGAAGTGAAAACTCTGTGTGTTCCACAGTGAATAGATTTGTTCAGCCCAGGGTCTTAATTATCTTGAATGAACAGTTAAGTAAAAATGGGTTACATCTTTAGGGACAGCTTTACTTTTTAATTAGAATAAGGAAACCTTTTTTTTCCTAAATAGTCCCTTTTTAAATCTCTCCTCTCTGCTGGCTCAGCAAAACTCAATAACAATGAGGACTTTGTGAATATTTGGGCACAGTTACATCGAGGGCATGGGAGGTTAGGAAAAGCTTATTGGAGGTTGGACTGACACCCCTCTTAACTTCTCTTACTCAAGCCTGTCGCGGCCCATTGGAGAATGAGCTCTAAGTTTGGCTTCTCATATAAACATACTTTCAGCAACCTAACGGCCAAAAATATGAACTGCAGTTATATTAAGGTTAAAAAAGAAATGGAGAAGATAGAAATAAGCGTGTTAACCGCTGAGCATTCATGCTGATTGAAATCTCTTGTGCGTAGCAGAGTCGTTTGACCCACCCTGATCTGCACACTTTTCGGTGTCCTCTCCGTGCTTGACCATTTTAATTTTAAAGGTCAGATTTGGACTGTGCAAATTATAATATTAAATATTTAAAGGCTCTGCATCATAGAAGGTTATTTTTCAAGGGAATTGCATTGTTTTTGCCAAGTCACTGGTCCTTTTCAAACAGGCTGAGTTTGCCTCAAGCTCCAGCGTTCGGGAACTGTGATTCATAATTGATCATCAGACAGATAAGCTGTAACTGAAGACACGCCTGAAGATTTTTTTGTTTTTGTTTGTATTTTACCCACAATTTGCAGTTCAGCACAGTCCGCAAATGCCTGCACTAGTAGAGGACCGTTGTCAAGGCAAAAAAAAAAAAAAAAATTGGTGTGATTTACTTTAGAGAGCACAGTCCGCAAATGCCTGCACTAGTAGGGGACCGTTGTCATGGTATAAATAAAATAAAAAAAATGGTGTGATTTACTTTAGAGACATACATTGGCTACTGTCCATCATTGCCAACAGTCAAAAAAAAATTGGACATATGACATAGCTAGAAGACAGTGGGACGAAGTGAGAGAGCCGAAGTAGCAAATCTCACAGAATTGGAATGGTGATTTATTGAGCTGTGTCAGGAGCCAATGTAATGTCATTTGCAGTGCATGACTTTCAAGATTTGGCATATGTCATGTAGTCCGTGATCTCTGTCAGTTGTCTTCAAAAGTCTGCTGTAACCTGATAAAGTCTGTTAAAGTGAAAAATTTTTACCTGATAAAGTCTGTTAAAGTGAAAAAAATATATATTTTGATTGATCTAAAGGTGATTTTCCGTCTGTTTTTAAAGGGAGTGGAGCGACAGCTGTGGTCCAAGCAGCCTACTGTTTACCACGCAAAGAGAAGGTGGCCATCAAGCGTATCAACCTGGAGAAGTGCCAGACCAGTATGGATGAACTTCTGGTAAGACACACAATAAGAAAATATCTCTTATATTGAGTTATATGGCGTTTTTGTGACTACCTGTGACTTCTGTTCAATCAAACAGAGCTACTGGTTGAACGTATGGAACTTCATTGAAGGTTCTTTGTTCTGCAAGTGTGAGTGTATGAAGAGGAATCATTTCCACCTCTGCTTTTCATTACCGGTGTTCTCATAGCTCTCCTCTATTTATCCCTGTCACATCAAACACTGCACTGGTTGTATTTGAAAGGAGGACGAGTGCCAGGAAACCATTAGACCTCCATGCCACGGTGTCCTGAGGGCTCTATTGTGTCTTCATCATCTCAGTGCAATTTTGCGCTGCTGCTCAGCACTCATCATTGACTGTACATGTGGTTTACCATTTATCTTTTCAGGAGTGGAAGGATTACATCAGGCTGCTCTTCACTTCGACATGATCCAGTGCACGGTTGGGGTCTGTGTTCTAGATCTGCAGATGATGTCATTTTTATGTTCAAAATCTAGGACAAAGATTATTTCAGACACTGATAACACTTGGTGCTGGACTGACACCAGTAAACTAGACTATAAGCCCGGTTCCAATTTAATTTAAGACATGTCCATTTGTCTTAGTTCACTATTTAAAAGGGTTAAAAAACACTCTTAGTGATTTTAACTAACAGCATAAGTCTATAAACTGAAGCATTTAGCTACTCAGCAGCTAACAGTTGTCTTCTCTTCATGATGCAAAAGTTATTTTAAATAGGCGACACATCATGGGGTTCCTGGGAAACTCAGTCAATGATTTCCATATGAAAAACATATAGTGTGTACAGTACACACTAGAGAGTACAGAGTATGAGCTTTGAGACTACTGTTTCTTACCAGCCACTGGTCAAGTTAAAACAGGAAGAGGAACTACCTCCCCACATTATTTGGAGGATGAATCAGGGGAATGTTGTTCCTGGATTCTCAGGCGGTCACATGGACTACATTGAGGTCAGATTTCTTGCCTGTGCCCCACTGTCCTACCCCCCTTGGAGAACCAATTCCACACCCTGCTGAATACCCTGTAAATGTCCAAGGAAGCATCAAATTGAACTTGGGTCGTGTCTGTTAAGATGAAGTGTGCAGAGTGGACGTCGCCTGACTTCAAAAATGTTTTAAATTGCTGAGAAACATGAGAGAATCTTCAGTGACAGAAAGCAATAACCTGTCACGTCTCTGCTCTATGCATGCGTCATTGTAGTTTAACAATCACTGAGAGGCGGAGGTGCTTTGGAGTGACTCAGGCCACAGTAGATGAGGAGGAGGATTGTTTACACACCAGGTTCAATGTTCTTTATCCTCTTGAATAACAATTACAGCACTGTTACAGTTGTCGCTTTTGTCTGGTTCACTAAAGGAAACGGAATCAGATTTCACACCGACCTATCAGGTATCGACTGGTACCGGGTTAAACCTCATATTTTCTGCAAGAGGAAGTGAATCAGAAGCATATGTGTGTGTCCCTGGTATTTACAAAGTTTCCTCATCAGCCATTGGATCAGCAGCTTCACTGATCCTCAGTCATGAGAGTGTGTGATTGATGCAGTGAGATTGGGTCATAGTCGGTGCGCCTGTGTGTGTGTGTGTATGAGTAACTCATAGTGACGTAATAATGCCTCTATAGTGGCTTCTCTGTGAGGCGTCCATTAGTGTGGCACCAGTTTGTGACCCTGCACTGTCCATGACAATAGATCATTTATTTATTTTTTGCTCAGCTTGAAAGGCTTCAGATGAACCAAGTACTGAGGCTAGGGAATGCTAAATATAAAACAGTGTGAACAAGATGGGCTGGTCTGTGTCCTAGTGAACCGATACGTGCCTCATATTAAGGGTGTGTTCACACTTGTAGTTGTCTCCCATTTGTTCAGATCTAAGCTGGATATTTTTATTTTAGCTTTTTATATGTATAAATATATAATTATTTGTGCTGTCTACAATGGATCTAATGTAATTTCCACCCCCAAAAAATGCTGCTGCCACGCTCGCTGCATAGATCTTATGTACTTTGTGCAACTTCCACTTCTACTTTTAAATTCTATTCCACTTGATGAACTCAGACGTTTAGATTCAAATCACACATTTGCATGTTCTTGCAGTGTTTGCTTGTTTTTTCCCCAGATTCTGTTGGTTCCTGTCCAGAGTCCAAAATCATGCAGACGTATGATAATTGTTCACTTTAAATTGACTATAGGTCAGAGTGTGAGTTTGTCTCTGGGTGTGGGCGTAAGAGTGGAGAAAAGTCCAAGGTGCACCCCACCCTCACCGGATGAGTACTGGGTTTGGCTCCAGTTGGCCCCCAGCTGATGAGAAGTACTAACGGTAGAATAGGAATGAGCGAAAGGACTATGGTAGCTGTCTCTATTGTACAAACCTGGGATTTCCATTATGAAGATACAGTTTCTTTTCGATAAACAGAAGGAACAGAGATTCAGTCTGACGTTACTTTGATTTGTTGGCAAATGGCATCAAAGGGTTAAAGGGTTGCTGAGGGTTTTTGAGGAAAGTCTTTAATAATTAAAGCAAACATCCGACTGCTCTAGGCAACGAAAAACATTTCCACTGTCTTTGCTGCAGAATTGACTTAAAGAGATTAAAACTGTGTGACAAAAAGCTGCTCTGAAGCTTGTATTGTCTGCTGGAAAGAGATGGGAAAAACTTGACTGCTGCCAAAGCACGGTTTCCTCTCTGATGTATCCCATTGTTTTGTTTTTTTTCCTGGGGTTACCCTGGCGCACAGTGCACTGATGACCTATCTCTTCCACTGTGCTGAGAACAGAAGAGTGGTGGTGTGGGAGGTGGTCTCTACTGGAACCAACCAACTAGGACTCGGTTCATGGAATTGCCTCCTATCCTAGAAAATTAAAACCAATTTCTGGGCTGTGTTCGCATATTGAATAAAACTTGCTCGGAAATTGTGACTTAATCTTTTTTGACAGCTGACAGGTAAATAAAAGTATAGCAAAAAAGTGAAATGATAGATGTGAATACAATTAAAACTTTGGCTAAAAAAGCTGAGAAGAAAATACTTTATACAGCATAAGAGAAAATTATGCTAGATGTAAATGAAACCTAGCAAAAATATCATGGACCCAAGGTAAACAATTAAGCTTCACAGTTAGGGTGTAGCTTGGCCTTCACTTTTTGGTCTGTGAACAGGTTTACCTGTAGGTTTTCTCAGACTGTAATCGTCTTTGACAGAAACCATTGTCCTGTATAGAAATTTAGTACCAACATGTCTGTACATGTCATGGTCTTGTAAGTTTTAATGAGTGTTTTTGGCCCCACCTGACACTGTATCCGCCCTTAGTGTGTGAAGTGCTTTCACAGTCGTCATGATATCAACCAAGCTCCTTCAGCCTTTCTTGGCAGAGGCCGACACTGAAGGTCGAGCGCTCAATATTGATGGCTCTGCAGCTGAGGAGTGCTGCTGTTAATGCACTGTGTGTTAGCTAAGCATTTATAGCTGATGAGACATCAGCCTTCAACTGCTTACTGTTTCACCTCCTTCTATTGGTCGATGTATTTAACAAATGTTTCTGCTTGTTTAAGGTCTCTCCATTTAGAGGCTTGTAGTGCACATGTCATGATGGAGCACTCTGTTAGCACACACACACACACACATATATATATATATATGTATATATATATATATATATATATATGTGCTGTTGCAGGCTGCTCTCACCCCCTCAGTGCAGCCCTCGGGGGGGGGCTGAAGCCTTTCAGTGCTAGCTTTCCTGTCACTGCCTTTAGTCAAGGAACAAGTGAAACTTTGACAATCTTGTTCTCTCTAAGACTGGCTCCTTTGGCGGTGGGTGCACCACAACCCTGAAGGGAATTACTTTTTTAAGACAGACAGTCCCAGTTTTGAGAGCAGCAGATATTGGTGTTAGTCTCACACCTCTGTCTTGGTTTAGATTTTTTCTTTGTAGTTTAGATATTTGTTGCAAATGACAGAGAAAGTTATAGAAATACTACAATAGAAGAACAACTAAAATGATCTCTGTGCCTCGGAGTCGTCCTGCCGGGATTCAGATTTCCCAGAAGAAGGCTAAATTAGTGTAGTACTAAATTCTGGACAGTTTGATCAAAATGCAAACATATCCCACCCATGGCACATTTAAATGATTTGCTGAGATGGCTATTTCAGCTTCAATATGGTCTCTGTTAGCTCGGGGGATATTTTTTGCACAACAAGTACATGTTGTGCATTATACAGCAGAGACATATTGCGGAGACATGCATGGGAATCAGTGGGCTCCAGTGGGTTTTCTGTTCTACAGGGAGTGTGTCTATCCTCAAATGACTCTGAAAATGGAACTGGGGCTGTAGTGAAGGATTCTGTGCCAGCATTACCTCAGCTCTCCTGCTTTCCAAGCACACACATACACACGCACGCACACATGCAGCGTTTGTTACATTATAGAGTACTTGCTGTTTTCTGCGTATGAGATTTAATTATATTGGTGATACAGTAAAATCTATTTCCTTCAGAGTACTGACATCATCAACATCTTAAATGTCACAGATTTCAAATATAGCTGCACCAGTATAGCCATAGTCATTTGTCTTTTTTTATTCATTTTTTTCCCAAGACTTTTTTTTTAAACACCTTTTAGTGAGCTACTGAATAGCTGGCTGGAGGACACAGTTTGTATTAAATGAGGTTTATAAAAGTTGCTTTGTATGTCTCCCGACTCATTTTGTCTGCCATCCAGCGTTTTAAGAGCTTTTAATGCCGTCTTTTTCTCTGCCTCAAATGCCAGTGAAGAACAAGAGTGGTGATTAAAGTGAGAGTGGCTTTAACACAGACTTTTACCAGATTTTTACCAGATTATGAGGTGATGAGGTGTTCACAGACTGCAGCTGCAGCATCGTGTCAGTAAGCCTTCGGTCAAACCTCTTCATACGTACTTCTTGTTGTTAATTGGATTCTTTCTGCTTTGTCTCCTTTACAGAAAGAGATTCAGGCCATGAGTCAGTGCCACCATCCCAACATTGTGTCTTATTACACCTCCTTCGTGGTAAAGGATGAACTTTGGCTGGTCATGAAGCTGCTCAGTGGTGGTAAGTCAGTGTTCTTGATCCTCCCCTTTCTGCTAATGATAATGATGTCATTTTTTTTAGCGTCCTGCTGGCCTTAAGTCATATGATTCAATCTAGAATTTGTTTCTTCAGGGCCCCTTGTAATTAGAGGTGGGCAGCAGGAAGAGTCGACCAATTTGCTGCTGAAGTGTAATCACGACAGCATTGATCTTCACCGTGTCCTGCTCTCCTCTGTGCTCTGCAGCTCTTTCCGGGCTTTAACTTGGTACAGTGCAGGAGCTAATGACAGGGCAGAGGTAATAACAGCTCGCAGGCTGCTGTCATGGCATCCATCTGGTACTGCTGCAATTAACTAGTGAGAGGAGCGGGCGAGGGGACCACAATGGAGATAAAAGATGCAACAATTGTGTCCCCTTGGGGTTGTATTGTTCATTTAAATCTTATAAAAATGACTAGTGAAGCCACAGAAAAGAAATATTTGTACATGGGGCGCCGGACGTCGGCCAGAAGAAGCTGGTCATGCTGCAGACAAAGCCCAATATTTGAGGAGAGTTCGTCAGGGGGCTGCTCTAATTTGTACTTGATGACAGCTTAATGAAATTAGTGGCTGTCTGTTCTACAAAGAGGCTAATAAAAAAAAAAAACCATCCAGCTTCCAGCATGGCACACTTAAATATACAAGCCACTCACTTAACATTTGCCCCCTGGTTTTACTATCGCTTGTTCCTCTCAGGGCCTCTGTGTAAACAGCATGCCACAGTAACAGATAGTGTCCAGGTGGCATGCCTGGCTCTCTCTGTTACGCTGGAGTCACAAACCGTCCGGCAACCGCCACAATGCTGCGCCTGAGCTGTGCTCCCACCCAGTGATGCCACGGTGCAACAGGTCCAGACTCCACTTTTTATGCCCCTCCCCTTCTCTTTCTCATCCTACTGAAATAGAGGTCCTTGATGTTGAGTTTTATTATGCGTAGTAATTGATTGATGGCCTCAGTGACGTCTCGCACAGAGAAGAGGGCGGAAATAAGGTCAGGTTTGCCGACCGTCCCACCACCGTGTCGTCTGCTCTGCAGGTTTGATAGAGCGTAACCCCCACCCACTGTCTTCACCCTGACACCCTGTCTTTTGGTTTCAACACTCATACCAGCTTGACAGTTGATGTGACTGGCATGTTTACACAGGGAAAAGTTTTGTTTGCAAGGCGTTGACTGAAAAGCCAGCAGAATTCTTCACTTCTATGGAAGACATATCGTAACACTGACCCGTCAGAGTGCAAAGGTGTGTCTTCGACAAATAGGTAATAAGACTTTTTCAAAAAGAATCTTAGAACAGTCATATGTTAAGAAAGACCTCCTACCAGCCTAGCTAAAGACTGACATACACATGAACTACTACAGTAAAGGAAGACTGGGAGCTCAACACCAGGAGAGCAATAAAAAGGGTCAGAATTTACAAAGTACAAGTCACCCCAAAAATCACATTTCCATCACAAAAGCATTCAGTGTTTTTCCGTGTGGTCTCAGACCATTGACAACTTCACTGTTGCTTAATTTCACTACAACTTTTGACATGCTAATCCTGGTTTGTTAAATAACTGGATGTGCTTTTCAGTTGACAGGACTGAGTGATAGTACACGGCAATTTAAAGTGTCTTTTCACGCCTCAGTGGGTTGGAACTGTCACGGTGGTATAATTGGATCTGCACATTATTGGGCAGGTGGTTTAAATGTTATGCCTGACTGGTGCGCTGTTGAATAGCAGATCCCATGTGGGATTGGTCTTTTTTTTTTCTACAAACCTCATTTACAATCAAAGTTAGCACCTTTCATAAAATGCCATATAATAAAACAAAAAAATTGCCCTTTGGCCATTTGACTCCAAATGTGCACACAGCTGTCAGGATCCTAACAAATCAATTCAAGACCAAATTTGTCAAACTGAACTCCCTGTTGACATGCTGCTTTGCAGGAAAATCCTGTTCTGAACGTGACATGTGAACAAGTGTTTGATAAGAGCAACGCACAACCTGTCACTGCTGAAATTCACTTTCACTGAAAGTAATTCAGAAGGAAAAAACACTGATACCAAAGTGAGCAGAGGAATGTGTCCCAGCAAATTCATGTGCAGCCTTCCTGACCTACTGTACTCTGCTGTAGCGGCACACCCGTCTGAACGCCACTATTACATTACATTATCAAAAGGCTAAAGTCTGAAGCCAGGTGGTTTGTCACATCGTGGTGTGGACCACAGTGCTGACAGGAAGCTTTGATAGTATCTCCAATTTCCAAGAATCGATACAACAGATTTCTTTCTTTAGCAAAGAATTGTTTTTTGTTCACTTCTGTAGCGTGTTGTGCCTTTTCCCCTCCAGGCTTTATTCAGTCAATGCAGAGTTTCGTGACTCTACAGTCTTTTACATCTTGTTTCTGCACCACCCACAGCATGTGACAGCTACTCCCATGCCCCACCCTGCTTGGCTCCAACTTTGCCTGGCATTCCCCATCATCGTTCAGCACAGTTGGCAGCAGTTCTCATCACCTTCACTTACCTCGGCCTTCTGACTGCTTGTTCTTGATCTGCCTCGGTCCAGAGCTTCTGGCTCCAAATCAGGGAACACACTTCTTAGCACTGAACGGTGTGGCTCCAACAGATTTTCCTATGACAACCAAAAGACTGTGGCTCACACATAAGCAGCTGATGATGACGGATCACAGACCACATGATTTGTCTAACCGACTTAAGCCAACTGAATGCACCAAATTCTTGTGACTCGTCTGACAGTAAACAAACAGACTAGTTGGGTTGGTACTCAGTACACTCTACTTGGGCTAGGCAGAGTTATGTAAAATTCCAGATTGTTTGGAATCCTTTGTTTTTTTGTGACTACCTGTAACTCAGGTTTCATTCGTCTTGGATGCGGTCTTGGGTTGTTAACCCGTCGGGCAACGTCAGCCTAATGAGGCATGAAGTGTTCAATCAGATGAATTTGAAAGGGGCTGACAAGACTGGCATTTAATGATTCTCCCTAAGCATGAGTCACGCTGAGTGTGTGTGTCTATGTGTGTGTGTCTGCACTGAAGAATCGTTTTACTGCCGTATCACCTCATTTAAAGAAGCCTTGTCACTGCTTAATCCTGGAAAAGTGCAAATTGTTTGCTTTCTACCTTTCTTGACCTTCTCTCTTTATCTTTAGCCAATGCTTGTCTATAGTTTTGTTAGGTGATAGCTGACGGTGCTGCATCATCAGCAGAAGTGGTCAACATCAGTGTACCCTCGAGCTGTTGTTCTATTCACACAGGCACACAGACGATGAGTAAAGGAATCCTTAAGTTAAGGAGAAATGCTTTTGTTTGAGAAAAAAAAAACTTGCCATTGATGTTAAAAGGAATAGCATGTTTTTTACTGTGAATGTTGGCAGTAAAAAGCAGTAAAAGTTCTGTTGTCAAGTAGTGTCTTGTAAGCCCATAGGCTGGTGACAGTTTTCTACATAATACTTTGAAGAAAAAAACTCTCCCAACTATTATAAATACTACTTCTACCTTACTATTGACAAACCTCTTGTTACAGGTTTGTATGTGTGTCAGGTCTGTACTTTTTTTAATAACTAAAAACTTGTAAGACTAGCTCTTTTTTGAAATACCTATAAAACTAATGGTGTATTTTACCTAAATATGTGTTTGTGTATACACAGCCAATGGTAGCTTCCTCTCTCCTCTGCAGACGGTGCAATTAGTGCATTTTCAAACTACTATTATTTTAGTATTTTAGCATTATTTTAATTCTAAATTTTCTTTAAAATAAAAGTATAGTTTAGCTTGGCTACGATGGATGGATGGATGGATGGATGGATGGATGGATGGATGCATTGGCCAAATTGCTGGTGATGATCTCACCTCCATATGCGTCTAAACAAAATATATTTTTGTGATTCTGCAGTTCCTGCAATGTCAGAGGGTTTCTATTTAAGAAAAGGTTTTCTGCACAGGTAAGTGAGGAACGATGAGGTGGCATTATTTTGCTCCAAAACTTTGTCTCCTAGTCACAGCCTCATTTCCTGGCTCAGTCGGACTACATCTCTGCTGTTATTGTGACCTGACTGATTTTAATGGCCAGGTCCTCTCCACATTGTCACGTCTAGTCGTATTCCATCCTTTTCTAAAAAAATCCCAGATACCTTGTTAAACATCAGTTCATTTATTCTCCCACTCAACAATTCACCCACTAACTCCTACAGTCAGGTCTGCTTTTTCTTTCTGGTCCATCCTTCAAATGTTTTTTTTCTTTTTTCATCACCACTCCCCACCACAGTGCTGAATCACATTTTCTACTTTGCACTGTCACTGCTTGAACAACCCGATGAACCCACCCTCCCTTCCTCCCTCCTTCGCCCCTTTCCTCCTCTGCCTCATTCTGACTGTGCAGAAGCCTCTCCGCAGTAACACTGTCTCGTCTCAGGTGGCCCGTCATCGTCGGCCACTCTGGGCATTGCAGCAAGTGTTTGTCTAAGTGCCGCAGACGATGACACTCTGAAATGGAGGTGCAAATAAATATTCTTGTGCCCGAAGCTTGGCACACTTGCTAAACGCCATCAATTACGTCTTGGAATTGTAACGCTCGGTGTTTTGAAGACCTTGAAAAGGCAATTTCCAGCTTTTGTTTACAAGAACTGCCAACCGAGGGCATGTGTGTGGAGGGGGAGTGTGTGTTTTGAGCAAGTAAGGCAGGGATGAACCAAACAGTGTGGCAGGCAGTGTGATGTTTGTGTTTGTGTGTCACTGCAACACAAAAAGCCTGTCAGACAAGTGGCATTCTATTTGCTGCTCTCTTTTGTCTCCATTCACCAGTGTCACCCAATCTTCTGTCGTGCCCAGTGCAAATAGTGAAGCTCTTTTCAGAGTGAGATTCTTCATTGTTTGGAAAGTCACACAAAGGAAATCATACGCTGACGGCAGGAAGACTTTTCATCCATTTATACAGCAGGAGTCGTTCCCAGTCAGACATGGTGACCTGTCTTTTCTGGTCTGAAGCAGGACCAGTTGTTTGACAGAGTCGTTGCGGTTCACCGTACATTGGTTTAAAAGACAGTCCAACCTATGACCCTCAAAGCAAACCTGTCCACTTATCTGCACTGCTGATCAGTACCTGCGTACAAAGCCCTGAAGGTAGAGCCACATGCACACAAAATCGGTGTCTTTGTCCACATGAGAGATAAAAGTCTTTAGCTATCCTTGGTATTCATGTTTTATACAAAAGGCATTGTGCCAAAAGTTGACATTTTCTAGTGCAACTTGAATCTGTGTGTTTTTGTGAGTTTAACTGCAGATAGACTAAAGCCATGATGTCATCGAGAGCCTTAGTCAGCCTTAGTGTTGGGCTGTAAATGGGAAATAATGAAATAATGCTGACCGTAGCCATGGTGATCCTGAGCTGCCAGTATTATTTGATTACTCCACATCTTCACATCTCAGTGGAGATTACATGAGATAAAGAAATTGTTTGGGCCTCAGAGCTCCAGACTAACTTTTTCGATGGTGGCTGTGCTGCTCAGTAGTCAGAGATACTCAACGCCTCCAAACATAACATGGAAGGTTTTACCCTTTACAGGTCTTGTAGAAATCCATGTTCTGCCATGTTCTGCTTTATTTTGCCATGGACACAATAAAGGTTATGATTATGTTTATGGTAAGAGACATATTGCAGACTAATCTTTTTTTTTCCTCAGGTAAATTAATCTGCAAACAGTGGAAAAGTACTTGTATATACACAGTTTAATTCACCCAAACACAACTTGAACCTTTACTGTTCTGCTACCAAAACACCAGGTCCAAAACACACTTTTGGTCTCACCAAGCCTCCAAGATATTTATGCCAAAACTGACAGTCAGTAGTAAAATAAAAGTATTTCTGTTTGAGAGAACTCAACATCAAGACAAAAGACAAATGAACTGGAATTTATTTTCAATGAAAGCTGCTTCATGTCTTTCTCATTGTCACGTTAGATGCAATTCTATTTCATACCAATAGAGTTACTGGTCATAAAAGTGGAGTTTAGATCTGCCATTGTCATTTTTTTATGATTAAATCCATACAAATATTTCTCTAAGTGAGAAAAGTGAAAGTGAAGTTTTCTTTTCTCTCTTTTATAACATTCTACATTTACAGCCTGATTTCTTCGTAGTTTGTGTTTGGTTGTAGAGGTGGTTTTAATTGTTGTAATTAACAAGTAAAATACAAAACACCTTCATGTAGTCACTCATCTTGACATTCTTTTCAGGCTCAGTGCTGGACGTAATCAAACATATCATCTCGCGAGGTGAACACAAGACGGGCGTCCTGGACGAAGCCAGCATAGCCACGGTGTTGAGAGACGTGCTGGAGGGTCTGGAGTATCTGCACAAGAACGGGCAGATCCACAGGTAAAGAGGGTTTGTTGCTCTGGACTCTGGGGTCCAACATTAGACTGACCTCCAGTTTCCATCACTCACTCACTAAATACAGAAGCGTTTATTGAGCAGATTGTACAACTGTGGCCTTGTCTTTGTGGCGTACTTGTATGTTTTTTTCCACCCATCATTAGCCCTTTTGATATTATGCTTTTATACCAGAGCCTCGGGGGATTCCATTTGTGTTTGTATTCATGTATATAGTGTTTAGGCAACATCATAGTCAGACCTTGTGCTCTAATGCCCGAGGTGGAACAACTTACTGCGGCCAAGCTCATGCCTATAAAACAGTGTACTGTTTACTCTAAACTGCATTTACATTATTATTTTTAACATTTGGACTTGACTCACACGTTACTACAGATTCTTCAACTTAATGAATTATGTTCCAAAATTAAATTTTAATTTTGTAGTCTTGACATTACAAAAAAATGTAATTGACAGCTTATTTTGTTTCTAAAAGTTTTTTTTATAGATAATATAAATGATGATTTTATCATCAAGTGTAAAATGACATATTTAATTTGATTTAATTTAATCATTCACTATTTATTTGCCCACCCGGCCTTTCATGTACTGTCAAGAAATAAACACTAGTTGTAAACAAGCACAAAAATGTGTGGAGAAAAAAAAGGTGTGAATGCGGACGTCTCACCTTGGATCGATAGCTGCAGCCTCACATTTTCTGTTTCTGGATCTCCTCCAATTGCTTTAAAACCTCTTTCTATTATTATGCTCTTTTAATTTATTCATCCTCCATTGTTAAGGCTGTGATGTTGTCCCCCACAAGGCTGAACTGTTTGCCGTAAGTGCAGCAGTTGTAAATCAGTGAAATGTTTATGGGATAGTGTGAATCAGAGGGGAACATAAATCCTCTGAACAAACAACAGTGGTTGACGTTAAAGGCCAGTGAATGTCTTTATTCTGGTTGATGTTTCCTGCAGTTTCCATTTGTTTTTTGCCGTCGAGTTTTAATAGTTGTCAGAAAGTTTCGTCTCTTCCTCCCTCCTCATCACTTTTCATATTTTTTTGTCTCTGTAAATGTGATGAATTGAATATAAACTGTACTGAAGCTAGTGATGAATTGAATATAAACTGTACTGATGAGCGCTAAAGCTCAGGGAACAAACGAAGAAGAGTTAAATTAGAGCGCGCTGTGGCCTCTCGTGGCCCGTGGCCTCTCGTGGCCCGTGGCCTCTCGTGGCCCGTGGTCTGGTGGTTAAAGGACTGGGCTTGTCATCAAAGTATCACAGGTTTAAATGCCGGCCCTGGCAGGACTGTGGTGTGTTGAACAAACACCAAACTTCCAAAGCTCTAAAAGTACGACAAACTGCTCCTGTGTGTCACGTGTTTATTCACAGGGTTGAATCGAGGACGGGTCAAATGAAGGGAGTCAACTGCTGAACTGCTGAAAATAAGAAAGTCCCATCAGCAGTGTGTGTAAATAAATGTAATTAGAAAATATATTAATTACATACATAGCATAAATATAATTATTTAATTATTTAATTTAATTTCAATTCTTTCATTGGAAAGTTTTATTGATTAATTTAATTTCAATTCTTTCATTGGATATATTTATTGAAGTGATTTTTACAAAATAAAATAGTATACAGACTAATGTTAATTAAAAAAAAATCAAAATAAAATAGTATACAGACTAATGTAAATTAAAAAAAATCTCAGGGGGAAAACAGGAACAAAAGGACAGAGGTTAGTAAATATCTGCCTATGCAAATAGATTCGTGTGGTAGATAATACACCCAGTAAGAGGCATTTTCTGAAAAAAAAAAAAAAAAAAAGTATAATTCAAAAGGTCAGGAGGAATCAGGCAGATCAATGACGCACCACTGCAGCGGTCTGCACTCTGCTCCTGCGACAAGTGTTCCTGGAGAAGAAGGAGAAGCAGTGATGATGTACTTGAGGTTCACCACCAAAAGGATGGACCATTAGTCAAAGCATTGCTCTCATGTTACATCATACAAACACACACATTTCATACAGACGCCTCTGAAAAAAAAAATCGTTAAACTTTATTATTAAATGCCACTTCCGAGCTGATAATCTTCCAGAGTTACTTCATGCACAAATGGAATGCGTCGATGGTAGATTTGCGTGCCGCAGGAAATGTGATGCTGAAAGCTCTCCTCTAATCCTGTTCATGACCAGGCTCAGTCGCAGCACTTGAGCAGTCACAAAAAACACAGTCAAAACACAGACGTCTGTGTTTGAAAGCTCTGTGTAAGATTTTCAGATTAAATATTAAATTAATCAATTGTCCATAGTTTAGTTAATTTGTAATTAAATGGCAGGTTAAACTTTTTAAAGAAAGATATTTATTATATGTTTGATAGTTTTCGCAACATGGATGATGACAGTTGCACCACAGTTAAGACGGTGGCATCATTAATTTCTATTTTTCGTCCTGTCTTGGTTTCAGTTTTGACAGTAAAGTGTTTTACTGAAGGAAAGAAGTTCTTTTTTTGGATGAAGTGTTTCATCAAGGTACTTTGATGACACCTCTATTTACTGTGCATTGAAAGTAACAATACTCCCTGGAAGTTTGTTTAGGGTTATTTGCATGGTTGCATGGTAACTTTTCAGGAAATTAGATTTGTCAATAATACATCACTGCTCAGCTTGGTTAAGCGTTGAACAGCATTTTAAGTAGTATGAGACACATGAGTGAGTTGATGATGAAGATTTAGCCACGGGCTCAGAAGACGGAGGTAATTTCATCAGAGGTGGAGATGGAACCAAAAGACAAAGATATAACCCACCCATTAACCTGCTAATTAGGTCTCATCCTGTGTGAAATTTAGATTTAGTCAGGGATCAGGCGTAACACCCATTTAAATGACTGTTAATTAAAGGGACAATCTGCTGTGCATGTGTGCTGCAGCATATAAATATCCACTTCCAGGGTGTCGCTGTCCGAGAGAGGAAATGTTTATTCTTGAGGTGAACGTGCCAACAGCTCTGTGACCAGTCCAAACTAATGAGGTGATTCCTCAGCCTCAGTTTCTTGTGTGTACCATGTGATAAATGTGAGCGCTGGAGATTGTTGACTTGCTGAGAGGAGAGGTCAGTGGAAACTCTCTGTGTGCTGATGTGAACGTGCACATATGTCCCTCTGTAAGCTGGATCATGTGAGGTGGAGCCCCCGGGGGCCGGGGTTGATGGAGATCGGTCATATGGGTGAAGCCCACGGACAAGTTGGACGGAGACAAAGCGTCACATGATACTTTCCATCCAGCCCAGGATGGCAGGAAAGCAATTAGAGTGCTGCAGCCCTGGCAGTAGGCTGAAGCAGCGACATTTA